TCTATGGGATTGTTGAATGATGTAAATTCAAATGATGGATCTCCTTTTGATATCAATGATTTCCCTCAGCTAAGCAGCCGGCCTAGTTCGGCTGGAGGACCTCAAGGACAATTGGGTACTTAGAGTTTCTTCTCCTTCAAGATATTCTGTGCAAGTGCATTTATCATACAGTTCATTTAGAATACTGATAAAAAGACAATCTCAGGTTCCTTACGGAAGCAAGGGCTTAGTCCTATTGTTCAACAAAATCAGGAATTCAGCATTCAAAATGAAGATTTTCCTGCTTTACCAGGATTTAAAGGTGCTCATCTGCATGCACAAAGCTCTGTCTTAGTGGGTTGATCCAAGTGGTAGCATTCTGCACATGTTTGCTTTTACACTTTTGGCTGCGATCAGAAAAGTAAAGGCAGGTTAGGGAAGTAAAAAGAGGACATGTAGGAGACATTCCCTGTTCTTTCTGTAATAAAGGAGGTGAAGTAAAACTGGATGTTTTCATAACCTTCCATGTCAGACTTTTATTTCCTTAATTGGATAGAATTAAAAGGGAGTCTTATTTACTTCCCTTCGGTTGTACCAAACAACATGAAGTGGAGGATGATTACATCTCCTTGGTAAGGAGATAATGGAGTAGCCTCTCCACTTAATCCTTATCTCTCCTCGCTTGAATGTTAATGTTGAATTGCAAGTTAACAGTTTCTAGCATGACAGTAGAGGCTGTCAATTCACAAGCTAAAACTTCCTCTCCACTATGGTACTCTGTCTTTGCTGTATAGATCTTTTTTTTCCTGAGAAGGAAGGAACAGGGGTTTTGCCATGCTTTATGGCCTTTGTTGTTAGTTATTTCTGCCTAAATTTGTAAAATATGTAATTATCAGGAAAAAATATAATTTGTAAATATGTCTACTTTGCTGCAAGGTATGAATGAGTTTGGGGAGGGGGTGTCATCAGGGAAAGAAATGGGGGCGATAGAGAATGAGGGGTGGAGGGGGGTGGAGGACGTTTCTCTTCCATGGTAGGAGTCTAATTATAGTATTGCTCTCATGTTTGCTAAGGTGGGAATGCTGATTATGCTATGGATCCTCACCAGAAAGAGCAATTCCATGATAATACCCTTTCGATGATGCAGCAGCAACACTTATCAGTAAGCTCAGATTTCTGAAACTCAGTGGTTATTTTTTAGAATCATATCCTTATAATAAATGCTTCAGCCTGCTGAATCTGTCTTGTATTCATCTTGATCTAACGGTGCAGATGGGAAGATCTGCTGGTTTTAACTTGGGGGGAACATACTCATCGAATCGTCCGCAGCAGCAGCTGCATGCTCCATCTGTTAGTAGTAGTGGTGTCTCCTTTTCAAATATAAATAACCAGGATCTGCTGAGTTTACATGGTTCAGATGTCTTCCAATCATCGCACTCCAGTTATCAGCAACAGGTGCATTACTCTTGATTTTTATGGCTTTACCTTTTTTTAACCCTTCTTTTTTTGGTTAACTATCAGTTCCTTTGTTTCAGTCCTTTGGGGTTGAGGGACGCTGGGAGAAATTATTATCTTGTCTGCCTCAAGTAAAAGATTATGTAGCCCAACTTTTTCAGACTACTTCCAAATTTTTTTTTTTCTCCCTACGTGTATAACGAGAATCAAACCCTCTGCTGCTGACGATCAGATTTACAATGTACTACTTCAATCCACTACCTTGTTCTGAATATGTTTTAGCTTTTCCCTTTCTTATCTGTGCTGTGCCTGCAGAGTGCAGTCCCACTAGAAATGATCCTATCATTTTTGGATTTGGCCCTGGGAACCCCTTCTTCTTTATGGTGGAACTTTTCTGCCTTTCAGCGATGTTTGATGCATAGAATTATACTTTATTGTATATAAGGTCAAAACCCGTAGTTCTGCACGACATAGTTTCCAACGAAAGATTTTGTTTGCAAAGAAGATTGTTTGAACACGTATTTGCCTTCCATCTTCTTAGTTCTTTCTTTTTGTGTGTGGATACGGGATTGGTTCAGTGCTGAATGTTCTTCTTCCTGAGTGCTTTCCCTACTTGACCTAGCTGATTTGACAGTCAAGGTTTGATTTTGGTACAAGTTTCTATTGGTCGGCAATATAGCAGAAATCTGCCCTCCTTATTGCCAGGTGAAAGAAAGAAAAAACTTACATTGGAAACTATAATTTTGATGTGGACAAGCTAGTGGTCAAGTCTAAATTCCCGGTGTGTGCTATAGAGGTTGCATTTATTCAGTTTTAAAGGGCACTAACATTCTTTTCCCCTATGGATTCAGGGTGGTGGACCTCCTGGTATTGGGTTACGACCTCTTAACTCTTCAGGTACTGTTTCTGGGATTGGATCATATGATCAGCTTATCCAGCAGTACCAACAGCATCAGGGTCAATCCCAATTTCGGTTGCAGCAAATGTCCACTTTAGGTCAGCCATTGAGGGATCAGAGCTTAAAGTCCATGCAATCCCAAGTTGCTCCTGACCCGTTTGGTATGCTTGGTTTGCTAAGTGTAATACGGATGAGCGATCCGGATTTGACTTCTCTTGCACTTGGAATTGATCTAACAACACTTGGATTAAATTTGAACTCTGCTGAAAATTTGTACAAGACATTTGGTTCCCCATGGTCTGATGAGCCTGCTAAGGGGGATCCAGAATTTACAGTACCCCAATGTTATTATGCGAAGCAACCACCACCTTTAAATGTGAGCTGCCTTTGCATTCTTGTTTATCTGTATCTGACCTATTTTATATATTGAATATTTTTCTATTTTGGCCGCAGCAAGCGTACTTCTCAAAGTTTCAGCTAGATACTTTGTTCTACATTTTTTACAGGCAAGTCTTTTGGTGATCTGGCCGATGTTCCTTGATTGTAAAATTCCAATGCAATAATAACAGGATCTGTTGTTTTTTGCAGCATGCCAAAAGATGAAGCACAGCTATATGCTGCAAATGAACTGTATGTTCTCTCATTGTTACTAATTTGGTTGTTCTAGGTCATATTTTCTTCTATTGTATACCCAAGAGCTATTTTGTCAGTATTGCTATGCTAGGATGTTCGTCTTGCTGCATAGTTGACTTTCTGGATGTGTGTTGTGCTAAGCGCGTTGTTGAAGTTTTGGTTAATAGCAGGCTGCATTTTCTATGTGCAGGTACAACCGCGGCTGGTTCTATCACAGAGAACATCGGTTGTGGTTTATGCGGGTTGCCAACATGGAGCCTCTCGTCAAGACGAATGCATATGAGAGAGGGTCTTACATTTGTTTTGATCCAAACACATGGGAGACAATCCGCAAAGTATGGATATCATAACGCAGCGTTAAATTCGTATTATTAGTTGTGTTCGTCACATGCCAAGGCGCTTCAGTTTTTACAAGGTTTCTGATGTTCTGATTTGTCTGCAACTTTGATGCAGGATAATTTTGTGCTTCACTATGAAATGTTGGAAAAAAGACCTGTTCTGCCTCAACACTAACTTGGTGGTGCAGTTTATAAGTGTACATTTTCAACATATTCCTTTTTTCTAGGAGCCAGGTAGTTCACCTGTAGTTTCTGCTCAATGCAGTGGTTGACAGCAATTGTTAACATTAGAGTTGTCTTAGTCATTGGTGATTTGCTTCTTGTATCTTTTAGATGTTGCAAGTCACAAAATGTTTTCTCCAAATCTCATGGTGGAAATGCCATCTTTAAGACACTGTTCATAGAATATTAATGGAGTATTGAAAAAAGACATTGATTTCAAGCAAAAGCTGGCTCATTCCTCAGCCACTGACATTTCAGTACAAGAAAGAACAGCAAAATTATAGGTGAGTGCATAGTTGACTTTCTGCAGGTTCTAATTATGAACTCTTTTTGGCATTCGCCATCTAGGAAAAAATTTCTGGTGCTTGAGTGCTATTATTGCTAAGCTATAATTAAGTTACCAGTGGCCATGGTCAAAAAGTTATTTCCCAGGACTAATTTTTTATTATTAAGGTAATACTTTCATTAAAGAAAGGGCCAAAAATGTGCCCGTATACAGGAAGTATTCTTTCCCAGGGCTCCATATCAGCAAAGTGTGAATTCAGAACGGACTCGTGGAAGATGAAATATTTCATCATCATTTCTATTGCTATGAGATGTAGAGTTTCCTGCTGAAGTAGTTGAAATCTGTATCTGAGTAGAACCTAGTTCTTTTCCCATTGATATAGTGGAACTTATATAGTGCATTGAAAATTTGAAATCCATCATTCTTCAGGTTCAACTCCAACCTTGTACCATAAATCTTCGAGACTTCCAATAAAAGAATTTGAATGATTGTACTTAGAATCTGCTAACAAATCTTTTATTCAAGAAATGGATACATTCCATCATGAGCTCTTCTTTAGACAGGAATTAGACTTTAGTTAGATTTTATACACTTACTTTACGTATTGACCTTTTGTTGTGTTTTTACAAGAGAATTGACAGAATTTAGATTGTGCATCTATCAAAGTCAATCGCTTGAAATAAATTCTTCCAAGCATCAGCAAGCAATCGAGAAAGAGAGTCTAATTTCTCCTGGTAATCTGCATGGTTAATTGAGAATTAATTGGTAAAATACCTGTTAGCATCTGAAAAGATATTTCTTTCGACGTTTATCGAAACTTCTTGTCTCTTACCTTCACTTCTCTATACAACAAAGAGATTTAGTGTTCTAATAGAAATGGTATCATATCATATACAATAAAATAAAAGATTAAAACCCTTTGGTGGTAGTTCGATTCTCTTTTCTTAATGAAAAATTAAGAAAAGAAAAAAATATCTGCAAGTCGGTCCTTCCGGAGGAACAACTATAAATAAACGAACCGAATTTCATCCAAGTGTGGGAGTCATGTTTAGAATATTAGTTTGCATTTTCTTTGTGTAATTTAATTGCCTGATTTTCCAGATCTTACCAGAAATCATTGACTAATCAAATTCAACTCTCACTAATTATATGAAATAAAAAATTATTTGAAATATACGGAACATTCATATAAATGACCAAAAGTAAATTTTGTGCCAACTTGGTATAAAACAGATATACAATATCTATTTGTACAAGTCACCAATTATATGCGAGCTAAAGTCTTTGACCAGGACTAAGTTCCTAAGGAAATCTCTTCTAGCTGTTTGATGTGTAGCAACTCCTCTTAACTCTGGTTATGATACAAGAAACCTTTGAAGAGAAGAAAGATGAATGCTTCCATCTTCTTATTCCCTGAAGTTGAATCTATCCAAGTCATGTCTGTGACTGTGAGGTACTAAGCACTAAGCCTTTCAATGCAGGTATCAATTCCTCTAAGAGCTCCCTTTTGGTCAAAATTCTGTCAGATGCACAATCTTCCTCCTATAGAGAACAGAAGATTAGGCAAAATCTGTTAATCAGGGGTATTAGTGTTCTTAAACTCTTTTTTTTTTTTTTTATAGTAAAACAAAAGGTCATTTCTCAAGGGATGAAATAACTCACATCGCCGGTAGCAGCAGACATTAGAGCCAACAGGCTCACTGTTCCACTCTGGTAATCAACCAAGGTCTTGAATGCCGAGTCGTCCAGTTTATCCTGAAAAGTAGTAATGATGTTAAAATTAGTTTACTGATGCAGGCTAAATTCATCAGAGGAATAAAATCTTATTAATCCAAGCTTTCTTTAAGCTTGGATGGCATGAAGCAAATGCAGATAGATTTGCAATTAAGAGTGTATAAATATTACCAGCTTTCTCTACAAGATTTATGCAGTGTATATTATATGCAATAGCATCAAGAGTCTTCTCATAACATAACAACTGTACCTTTAACCGAGCGACAGCAGCTGATATGGCCCTACCAGGAGCCTGCAGAGCTTTTCCATGAACCTGTGTATCATAAGGAGTAAAGATCAAGACCGAGAGAGAGAGAGAGAGAGAGAGAGAGAGAGAGAGAGAGAGAGAGAGAGAGAGAGAGAGAGAGAGAGAGAGAGAGATGGAGTAAAGATCAATATATATACACGCACACACACGCATGGAGTAAAGATCAATATATATACACGCACACACACGCATGGAGAAAGAGGGGCGGATCGGAGGAGAGGGTTAAGGCTGACCTGTACATAAAGCAGAGATATAACTTGTGGTAAAAGGGAAACTGGATCCGTTTCAGCAGAAATCTGAGATGTCAAATCCTGTAACCAAAAGAAAACGATAATTCTATATAATTCATTAATTATTTAAAGCATTCTAGAGTCCTCTAAGTAAGAAGTCAAAAGAAGATAGGAAACTCCAGCCTTGCATATTTGTGTTCAAGAGAAAAAGCTTATAAACAACCACATTCAATGGAGAAATTCATCAACCCTCATAGTCCACCTCATGTAAAACTGAGTGGTACCTTGCGATACGAGTGCAGAAGAGTTCTTTCCAATTTCTTGTCAAGCTTCTTCAAAGCTAATCCACTGCAAATATTACAGACCAAATATCATTCTAGTTGTTCACTATAGGGGCAAACTAAGCGGCTTGTGGGAGGTAGAAGAATACGCAATACCTTTCCTCCGCAACTTCTCTCAGTGCAGACATAAATGATTCCACCCGCTGTCAATTGTAAGATCTAAGTTACTAACGACTCCAGAATGTAAGAAAATGCAACAAAGATAATGAGCATTCCTAGCAAATGAGAGCATTATTATTGTATAAAGTGAAGGTCGTATACTTTTGAGACAAGCAAATGCTTGTAAGAAAAAGAAGCAAGCACCACATTGACTTCAGTAGTGGAAATAACAGGTCAGAAATTTGACAAATTATTTCCTTCTTTTGGCGAGAACTCAGAGAATCCATGCCGCAGTAAAGAGTAATTGTTTCGCCTTGATGCCTTAAATGGAAATGTGGTTCGGAAGAGAAGTGTAAGCAAAGAAATTGTGGTGGTGGTGGTTGAGGGAGCTTAGCAATTGCAATGGATGCCTTTTTTTATTTGTTTTTTTTTT